TGGCGCTTGAGCCTTGTCATCCGTTCTGCTAATGGGAGCACTCGTGGAGACGCATCGCCGGTGCGAGATGCACGGGCTTCCAAATCAACCAGCGCATGTCTCTTCCCTTCAACCACGTACTAGAGCGGACAAATCAATCCGCGTTCACAATGGAGAATATCTCAATCATCCACAAGACTCAGCTCATCCGCGAAAGCAGCGGAAGTCCCGAAAAGATCCCAGCTTCGAGTAAAAAGCAAGACTCAACCCAAGCTGTTGCCACACAATCCCTTTCTCAGGACTGCCCTCTCAAACAGCTGAGCTTCAAAATAATGCATTCGCAACATTCTTGCTGGCGGCGCACTCAACCGCCGAAGATCCAGAAGGAAAGAAATCTTGCTCTTGGAGCCGGGCCCGAGCGGTTCTCCTTGCCGAGGCCCTCCCTCTGCTCCGATCTTTTCCAGCCAAAAAGGTCTGAACACAGGACAAGGCACAAAATACTTGCGCGACCTCCACAGCGCAACATGACTCAGATTTCGAAACCTGCGACATTTTTCCCTTCTACGCAGCTGACGCACACTGCTGGCAGCTCATCTGGCCCCAGCGCCCTCATGTTAGTAGTTATCCTCCTACCACACTTCAGCAAGTCGCCCCCGGCCAGGACATGTGAGATCCCACTCAACACGTGAATGAAGGCCTGTCCCTGCAGCGGGCAGGCAACGCGCGGTCTCACTTCCTCAGGAGGCGCTGGTACCGCTGGGGCAAACAGCTCCCCAACATCTGAAACATCGGATCCATCCTCTGATTCTCATCCGCCGGGTCGTCGTCCGGTAGTCATCGGCGACTGTCTCAGGCAGATGCTTGAACTGATCCGGCTCCTCACTCAGGGCACGGGCCACCCTCTCTGCTCTAGGCAAGTCGGGTGCGAAGTCACCCCGCTGAATGGCTCGTACCACTCTGGCCACCTTAGTCAAAATCTCAGCCAGGGCATCCCTGGAGTAAAGGAGCGCCATCCCATGCTTCGGCGAGCAGTGGTGGCCCTGTGTGAGCCTCTCCTCATAGGACATGGTGCATGACTTAGCTGTCCAAGAAAGGTTCCCTGGGACCCCTTGCACATGCAGAATCTCCCTCAGCCACAGAGTCCCCTCAGCCGCAGTCATAGGTCGATCGAGGAAAGTCCCCGCACTCGTAACAGCGCGCATCAGGCACCGGGCTTTATCAAGACCAAGTTGGCTGCGAACTTTGACCCAGCGCGGCCCCCACGCCGGTTGCTCCAGTCCATTGCCTAGAGCAATCAAAGGCAAAACTGCATCCTTGCGATCTTTGGCCTTGGTTTTATAGTGTTTGGTACCTGTCTCAAGCAAGATCAGCCCACTTGTCGCTGAGTCCACAATCAGTCCCGTGGCGCGGGCCGCGTCAGACCACCTTGACGAGGCGAAGAGGCAAAACAATATAAAGCCGGCCGCAACCACTTTGAATAACTCCTGAAAATCCAGAACGAAATTCTCCAAAGCCGAAACACCAACAACCGGCAGCTCAGGCACTTGCCACAAGGGGCGTTTGCGTGTGGCCATGCTCTTAGCCACGCCCTCGACTCTCGACGATACAGTCGGATTCGGCATGGCGCCGGTCAAATGCATCATGAACTTGTAAGCCTTCACAAAAGAGTCTGCCGAAGTGGGACTGCCTCCAGA